GGGTGCCTCCTGACTCGGGCGAGCAGTCCAGGAGGCTGCTCTTGCCAATAATGCCGAAGGGAGGCAGGGGCTGCAGCTGCAGCTCCTGCTCGTGCTCTTGCCAATAATGCCGAATGGAGGCAGGGGCTGCAGCTGCAGCTCCTGCTCGTGCTCTTGCCAATAATGCCGCAGGGAGGCAGGGGCTGCAGCTGCAGCTCCTGCTCGAGCTGGCGTGGGAACAGGCCAGAAATAGCCTGTTCCGAAACCCAGTTTTCGTGCCTGAATCTTAGGGCAGGTCGAAACAAATGAGGGCCTAAAAATAGCCCAGGGCCTAAGAATAGCCCTCCGTTTCAGGCTGGAAAAACTCTGGGTCTGAAAGACCCAGAAATAGGCTGAAATGGAGTAGGGCCGGCAGGCCCTCGTTTTTCAGTTTTCAGGCTGAAACGACCGGGGCCTGTAGCTCCTAAGTTTTAGGCTTTTAGGCTGAAGGTCCGGGACGGGTCCTACAGGGCCCGTGTGGCTACGCAGTCTGCCAGAACGGGCCTCCACATTTTTGCTGCGATTCCCATTGGCTCGTGGCTAGTGTGTGACTAAGATGTTGCATTCCCATTGGCCTGCAGCCGTTCTGTGATGTGTCGGCATCTGGTGGCTCACACCCAGGGCCTCAACTGTACGGGGTCCTGGGCTCAACTGCCCGTCGAGGCTGCAGCCTCCGGAAAGAGCCTGGAAAGGCTCACGTTACTCTGTAATCATCTGGCGTGCTGCAACTGTCTGATACCCCACATACAGAAATTGACAGAAATAGGCCTCTTGTAAATATTATGGCCTGCCTTCACGTAGGGCGGGCACAGTCTGTACGGGGCCTCAGCCGAGATGTGGGGTGAGCCCTAGAAGGGCTACTGCGAAGATTCGTGCCCGCATATAGATTCCAACAGCCCCTTTAGCGTGATCACAATGGCCTTGGCACATATTGGCAGGCACGCCTTCACTTAGGGCGGGCAAGGCCTTTTCCAGCACTGCCGAGGGCTCAAATCCTCACAGAAGGAATTCTGAAAGAGATTTTTTTTCGGAATTTGGCAATTAGATGGAACAACGCGAATTGGTACTAATTAATTTAACCTAATCAACTAATCAACTAATCAATCAATCAATCAATCGATCGATCAATCAATCAATCAATCAATCGATCGTTTGTTACCAATTGTGCATAGGTCACGTTAGCCCTGATTCACGAGCGGTGCTCCGATCTACAATAACATTTAGGGCTAGCACCCTTTTACAAATCAATATTCTTAAAAGCAGGCAGCCGCAACTTGTGTCAGTTTATTACTGCTGCCTGCCATTAACTACAGGGGTTGCTGCCTCTGCTGCTCACACTGTTGCCGCTCATACTGGAACTGCTAGAGCCCCTTCTTGTCCTGCTGCTGGTGCCACGGCCGCTGCTTAAGGCGCACAAGTACCGTCATGGCCTATCCATTAGTGGCTCAGATTCTTCTTCTCCCCAAGCTGCAATTGATGATGGTACTGAATCAGATGCAGACTCTGACGTCACTTCTGCTCTTCAAGCTTGCATAAGGAACTGCTATTGGTGGCTGATCAGTTCTGCTTCCTGCTGTTGACTGCTGGCGCTGATTCTATTGCTGGTCATATTGCTTCTCCACCTGCCACAACCACTAGAGCCACATTGTGTGATGCTGTTAATGCTGCTGCTGCAGATGTTGCTGATGGTTCAGTTGCACATCCACCTATGCTTTAGAGTACAGACTTTGCTTCTGGTGCATCTCCTATAGCTCCTTGCTGCTACTTCTAATGCCACCGCTGCTGCTGCTGCTGCTGTTGCTGCTGACTCTACTTCCGACATTGATATTGTTTCCGCTGCCTTTTGTGGCTACCACGCCCAGTCTTGTCGCTGGTAGTGATTTCTCTTCTACATCCTGATGCAATTCATGCTGCTATTGCTGCTGTTGCATCCACTGTTGGTTCTTCCCTGCTGCAACTGCTGAATGCAGATTCTGCCCCCCCTGTGACTCTAGCTCTCATTCAAGCTGCTGCTATTTGTCTTGCTTCTGCCGCTTCAACTGCCGCTTCTACAACCAATGCTCTTATTCCTTTTATTATTGTTGCTGAAAACCAGGTTCAACATGAACACTCTTATTCATACTTGTGCTGCTGCTGATTCTCTAGCTCTGCTGTTTGTCCCCAGAAGTGCTATTGCCTATGGCAAATGCCACTTGCAGCAGTCGCAGCAGCACACAATGACAACGGCAACGACGGCAACGACGACGACGACGACAACGATGACGACAATGATGTGATGATGATGATGATGATGATGATGATGATGATGATGATGCGTCATCCACCTCCTCCTAGTTCCATTCTCCTGATTATTTCTGGTTCTGCTGCAGTTCCTACATCAACATTACATCGCCACCATCACCATCACCACCACCACCACCACGATATTGAGGCACAAGTGCTGGAACTAATACTATGATCAGTGATAATAGCATTTGTACCAGTAGTAGTAGTAGTCATAGTAGAAGTATTAATACTTCCACCACTGCTTCTACTACTAGTACCACCTCTTACTAGTACTACTACTACTATTAGTACCACCGCTACTAGTACTACCACTATTAGTACCACAGCTACTAGTACTACTATTACTACCACTGCTATAACTACTAATACTACAACTGACTAGTACTTCTACCACTACGACTACTACCATTGCTACAACCACTACTACAGCTATTGCTACTATTACTACTGCTTCCGCTGCCGCTGCTGCTGCTGCTGCTGCGACTACTACTACTACTACTACTACTACCACTACTACTACTACTACTACCACCACCACCACCACCATCTTTTGCTGCTACTATTGCTACTCCTATCCCTACCCCTACTCCTACTACTACTACTACTACTCCTACTTCTACTCCTACTCCTACTACTATACTACTACTACTACTATCACAACCACCATATTTGCTACCACTACTACTATTGCTACTCCTACTACTCCTACTCCTCCTCCTCCTCCTCCTCCTACTACTACTACTACTACTACTACTACTACTACTACTACTAACACAAGTGCTACGTGTGCTACTACTACTACTACTCACCTTACGCTCCTTCCCATTATGGTTGGAAGGCCCGAGTGGACGACATTGGGTACTTCTCGTGGGAAGGACATACCATGCCTCACTGGTGCCTAATCTGCCCTCATTGACTTACTCTAGAAGTCCGCTGACCCCGGGGTCCTTGACTCTACTGGACTTACGTCCGTGGTGCTAATTGGGGTTCTGTTTCACACTCTCTCTCTCAGCTGCCAGGCCGTCAGTACACTTGGATAACTAGAGCAGTACGGTACTTCTGTCTTGTGACACTCTTTTCTTGACAGACCCTGCTACTGCCCTAAGCCCCAAAATGACCGTGGGCTGTAGCTACCCTAGCCAGAATCTGCAGAAACCCTAAACCCTAGGGGGCCTTCGCCCTATCCTACTAGCTTGAGTACAGTGCTTCCGTTTTCTGACACTCTTTTCTTGACAGACCCTGCTACCACCCTAAACCCCAACTTGATTCCTTGATTGCTTTTCTGCGTCTTTTTTCTACTAACCTGCACAGCTAGCTGCCAACCGACCCCCGTCTTATCAACCTGTGGCGGCAGGACAACTCGAGAGACCCCAAGGTGCTGAATGGCGAGGTCACTTTGGGCACTGTCCTGTCAGCCAGGTGGCTCCGCCGAGCCTGTATGTCGCCTGGCGCTGCACACCAAAATACCACTATGTGCCCTTCGCCGCTGGTTGGTTTGGGATAGCTTAACCTGAGTCGAGACGAGTGGGTACAATGAACTCTAACCAAACTTCTTTAAAGGGCCTGAGGCTCGTCTCATGCCTTGCTCCACTGCTCCAATGGAGTCTGAGCGTATCGCTGGCAATGGTGTCGAACTTGCCTCTTCCCAGCACTCGGTGCTTGAAGTTAATGGCCCTACTCTTAGCACGGTCTTCTCTATTTTTTTTTAAACTAACCTATATTCTTCTCTCAATGTACCTCCCACTACCTACCTACTCACATCTTAGCAACTGTGAAGATATTTATCTGAGACAGTCTACGACAAACTCCTAAATCTCTCTACTCTACGCGGGGAGTAGCACCCAACCTCCTAACACCTGGTGCGAGCTGGAATGCAATCAGACTCGACTTCTTCACGCTTGTCATGCATGCAAACAGCGAAACAGCAAACTGGCGACACGCGCCCACACAGTACTCAAAGATATCGTAACCAGGTAAGAGTTCTCTTCAAACTGGCTATGGCGACTGAGCGCCCACACAACTCACTGTTCACACTCTGGATCACCCTGGATGTCCCACACGCAACACTCTACACGCAACACACACACACACACACGCTACTATAGCTATGGCAGCTATGGCTGCCACTATCCTATCGCTACGCTACACTTCACTGCCCTCTTCGTCTTCGGGCGCACTGCAGACCTCCTCGCACAAGCTGCCGAGGCAGCGCTTCCGCATGGCATCCGCAGGAAAAAATGAATGGCTGGAAGCAGCCTCTTGATTTATACTTCTGTGCGGCGTTGGTCTGCCCTGTATCCCTTGGCCCACGATGTGCACAGTCCCAGACGGTACTTGCTTGACTGGACCGGACTGGGCTACCTGGGACTGCTGACTCTACG